CAACTCAAAAAAAAAAAAAAAAAGAAGACAATGGTTTGGAGGTCTGACATGTCACTTTTCACACCATCTTTATTTTTTTTTAATTTATTTTTTATTTTTGAGTTGGAGTCTCACTCTGTCGCCCAGACTGGAGTGCAGTGGCACGCTCCCGGCCACCGCAACCTCGACCTGCTGGTCTCTAGCGATCCTTCCACCTTAGCCTTCCAAGTAGCTGGAACTATAGGTGCGCGCTACCATGCTGGCTAATTTTTTGATTTATTGAAGAGATGAGAGCTCGCCAAGTTGCCCAGGTAGGTCTCGAACCCGCAGTCTCAGGCAATCTACTCACCTCAGCTTCCCAAAGCGCGGGATTACAGGCTGAACCACTGAGCCCGGCCTCACACCATCTTTAAATAGACATGTGCTAATGATACAAGAATGATCTTCATGTAATCTGTACTCATTAACAAGGGAGACCAAAACAAAAGAAAATATTGTCTCTTTTTTCCCTCTTTGTACATTTCCACTCTCTACTTGAATGCAACTTATATTAAATTGCAGGAATACATATCAGTGAGAGAAAAGGCCTCTTGTATTGTGTCCTCTTTTGTCAGGTTAAAAGAAGCTGTATTTTAGAAAACAAAGAAAGGCAGCCAAGAATAGTTTTTTATATATTTGTGCAACCTTACCCAAACTGGATTAGCTATATGTAGTGGTTTGCCTAATATGCCAACCCTGAAATGTTTGTTTCATCATTATGCAGTGGATATCAGGCATGGTCTGTGTAGGAGAATTTGCTGTCCCCAGAGGGATCTCATATGGCTTTCTCTCTGACAGCATCTTCCTGTGTGTACCTGGTCATTGCCACCTAGTGGTGAGAAAGAGAAGCGAGAAGGCAAGGACCTAAGCAAGGGACAGAACAGGAAGTGCCCTCTTGTGCTTTCTTTCTCTTACCCTGCATTGAGTTTGCGCTTTTGTCAATTTTGGTTTTTATTTTGATTTGTTTTGTTTTTGTAGATAGAGTATGTGGTATTTGGAGAAATACCCAGTGATCTTTCTGGCACTTTGGTCTTCTCTAACCACTCCTTGGGACGGCTGCAAGAACGAATCGTACAGCTCCACGAGGAAAACTCCAAGCAGCAGAAACTTAACAAAGAGTGGAGGGAAAGACGCAAACAGCTCATTCGGGAAAAGAGAGAGATGGCAAAAACTATACAAAGTGAGTATCTAAGCCCGTGGCCTAGCTAGTGAGGGTCACTGGTGAAAGAAGGAACTATCTGGCAACTGTCTCCAGTTCTGACAACAGTAATCATAGAATCAGGACCACTGAGAGAGAAAACAAGAGGATCTGCTCATCTTCCCACTTCTCCTGATGCCATTGAAATATCCATTTTAAGGGAGACATCCTTCATCATAGAATCTGTTTCTCTTTGTTTATGATTAAAATGTAGAGTAATAGCCGGGCTCAGTGGCTCAGCCTGTAATCCCACACTTTGGGAGGCTGAGGTGAGTGAATTGCCTGAGCCTGCGGGTTCAAGACCCGCCTGGGCAGCGAGACCTCATCTCTACAAAAGATCAAAAAATCAGCCGGGCGTGGTAGCGCATGCCTGTAATTCCGGCTACTTGGAAGGCTGAGACGAAAGGATCACTGGTGCACTCCAGTCTGGGCGACAGAATGAGACTCCAACTCAAAAAAAAAAATGTAGAGTGATATAATAATAAGCCATGTACCTACTACTCACCTTAACAAATAAAACATTAAAGATAAAATTGAAGCCCCTTTTCCTTTCCAATACTATTCTGCTACTCCTTTCCCAGGGATAATCACCAGGTATGCAGACACTCCTATGTTTGTATTTACACAAAATGTATAGAGCTACCTTGCATTTTTTTTTTTTTTGGAGTCTCATTTG